TTGGCTTGCTTTTTCCTATTCACTAACACAGTGCTATGTATTTGCAAGTTCAAGCTTGCACACACCCATCTGTAAGTACTAAGCCTGCTTTAATCATTACTTCTGCTCCCATCCACTGCACTGGGCTTATCTTGCAGAAGTAACCTGCAAAAATCACTTTCCATTTGGCAGTAAAAAGAGGGAAGATGGAGATAAGGGAAAATGCTGCCCCAAAAGGTGCAGTTCAGGCAAGAAATGGAAATGTTTCAAACTTGGAAGATGTCACTGCATCCCAGTCATTATGTTGTTTGTGTATGCCTGGCATTAATAGCTGGACTGAAAGCCTGCTTGATTGTCTATGAGTTAGCAGTAAATCAAGGCAGGACAAGAAGCTTTCTTCTGAGTCATTAAGGGTTAGCTACCAGTTTAATAGCCTGCCAGATGCTCCCTTTGGCTTGCACAAAACCAGCTTTCTCCTATGAAGTATGATACGGACTAAAAAAAGGTTCCAAGGAAACACTCGTGTGCTTGCAGAAGATACCAAATCAGAAGAGCTGGTTTTCTCAGGCTGTCAGCTATACACGGAACCATTCTGGAGACAGCACTCTACTGACTTACAGGGTAAGTCATTCCTTAAGCCCTTTCAGTCCTTGCTGTTTAGTCAACAGGCTTCAAATCACATGTACTAAAGCTCAGGTGAGTCACCAACATCAAGAAAAACAAGATTAAGCCTGTCATATCGCATCTGCTCCATGAACACAAAACCAGTTGCACAGCTCCAGGACAGTGAAAGCCACAGAGTGTCACGGAAAGAAGCCAACTTCCTTTTTGCTGTATTCACCATTTGCCATCTTTCCTTCAGAGCAAATTCATTTTAACAGTATTTTCTCGCTTTTTTCTCACCTGAGCTATGTGCTGGTTTTTAGGAAAATTTCACCCCAACAATATTTTCTACAAATAGATGTTTGCTTTAGTTTACACTTCCCAGGACAGCGTTGCTACATCAGGAAAGTAGCATGCTGTTTCATGTCTTGACAACACTATGCCAGCTATTAAAATAATAATACTTAGAACTCTTCTACCAACTATTGTGCTGAACTACTGTACAGTAGAAAATAAAGGCTTTCATATATTTGACCTAAGTCATTCAGGATTAAATTAATTCTGGATACTTCCATTTCAAACTGGGAAAACTGATTCTGATTTGCAAATTGACCAAGGTTGTACATGCACCTAGAAAAACATCTGTGTCCTCTCACTGTCTCATTACATTAAATACCTTCCAATCATCTAATGCTAGGACACCTTCCTCAAGTAAATAAATCCATCTTAGTTGTGGATAACTCTTCCGTTGCTCTAAATCTGCTGTTTTGCTTGAAATCTGCAAGCAACTACATCTTCACTTAGATGATACCTCCAAGTAAGTCAGTATACTTATTTTCTAATGAAGGCGACTTTAGTGGAGCAGTAAAGCTATCTGTATTACACATTTCTATAGCCTAATCATTTTTATGTCAGTAACCACAGTACAGCTTTTTATAAGGCTTTTTACTCTCCTACCAGTAGTTCAAACCACACCTGAGACTGATTTACTTCCATTTTAACTCCATGAAAGCCTTATCTTAAGTAATAGCACTTGTGCTTCTACTTCCAGGGATCCCACTGTTTTGTAGGTAATAGCCACTGAAACAATGACTAGGAAAAGGAGGATTGAAAAACAATCTAATTTCCTCCACAACCTTTTCTATATCACATAAGCCTATGTGGCACATCTCATCTTTGAGCTATCGCTGAAGTCCATGCCTTCCATTTCCTGAAAATCAATGAAAAGGATACAAGGATATGAGATATAGTTTCAGCATATGTAAATTTTAATGTAAGGTTCCATCCACTGATGATCAGCATTACCCCAGGAAAATTCGTTTGCTTAGGGAGCCCTAAATATAAATGAAAGCATAGTTCCCACAGGAACCCTAACTTTGGTAAACCATAAATATCCATGGTGGGTTTGAATTAATACCTAATTTATTTTTGCAACGAGAGGAATCTGTAGAGACTGTATCAGCCAAAATTTTCAAACAGGAGTACTAAAGACAGGCTCTTAAATCTATACTAAGTAACTGATCACCTCAACTGTCATTTCAGTTCACTTTTAGGTCCCCTATTTTCAAACAGGGATGTTTAGGATTTTAAATATAATGTGCAGCTCTCACCAGGAACAGTCTCCTACTCCATTCTTGAGATGTCAGAAATATCAAATAGTCCTTTTGAGCTGAAGGGATTCTCAATGCTGTTTGCAAGATCTCAACTTGCTTACAAGTCAGCACATCAGCATACTTTGAATCAGGTAGAGGAATTGAGCTGAAGCGGTTCAGCTTCTGAAACACTGAGGTCCTCACCTTCCCAAATACCTGCTATACCTTTCCAACAGGAAAGGATCATCAGCTCTCATGTTTAAAGCAAACAGAAATTACTTCATTATGTGAAAAAAAACACATTTTTAAGACTGTTTATAAGTAGGCAACTCACTTTCAGCTAGAAGCCTTCTATAACTGGTTTCAGATATACACAAGCTTGTTTTACTACTTAATTTCCCAGGGAGCAAGCAGAAACATTTAATATCCAGGATGTCTGAAGAATGGTATTCTCTCAGACAGGAACTCTATGAAACCAGTTTTACCATTCTGTCTTTTGAAAGGTAAGTATGTATAGGGTGTTGCCTGATGTTCTTGTTCTTGTTAGGAGAACACAGAGAAGGGGACACATTTATGCATCTGCAGCATGAAATTCCAGAGTTTGGCAGAGTATTTCACATGTATTAAACTGATAGAGAAAATTGCATGCTGTTTAAATTTCAGTCAAATGAAGAGACTGCATATTAATCACTTTAAATTTGTGCTTGCTAGAAAAGGACATAAGCTGGCAAACAGGCCACTGACAGCATTGGCTAGCAAGCTTTCCTCTTAACCCTACTCAGAATTAAGTGAATAGGTTTATTTTTCATTTTTAGTTGTGTTCTGAATTGGGCTTCTTCTCAACTTAAGCCTTCCTCCCAAGACTCCCACACAGAACCACACACAAGTACAGATACAGTCCTTTGACTTGCTTCTCCCTAAACAGAGCAATTTGCTTTATATGAGGAGTCAGTTTTAGCTACAGAGGAGACATTTGCAACAAGAGATGTGTGAACTCCTCCATGGGCAGGCTTGGGAAGGAAGGGAACCTGGCAGAAAGGAGCTTCACTGGCCAGATGCTTTTATGGTCCTACTTGCTTTGCCACTTTCATTGCCTTTTTGTTTGTTAGAAAGTTAATTTATCGCAAATTGGAAGAACAATACATAAGATGTTGTTTTAAGTCTCTTTTACAGCTAGGAAGCTTTGCTCCAGTTTATATGCCACACTTTTGGGAGCATACAGACAAAAGGCAGATTAGACGAAGCAGGAAACATACACATATGGAAGCTGGGGCACTTTATGACTTTGGAAAGAATGGAGATGTAATACATAAGCAACAGAGAAGCAGCAAACTGGGAGACACTAGACCAAGCTTTTAAGCAGAACAATTATGTGAAAAGACAGAGCAGCAACAAGCCGTGTCATAGCTGTTGCACCTCCCTTCCACCTCTACAGTCCTAATAACTAAAGAGTAATGTTCTCTTTTGATCTTTCTCATTTCAACTGATCCTTTATTATACTATGAACAGTAGGACAGTTTCAATGTGAAGGGAGAAGAACAGTCCTGCTGCAAAAAAGTTCAACACATGGTTAAGCTACGAGGGGTGTGGAGGAAAAAAATGAAAGGTAAATGTCCTGGGTTCTGACTGAGTGTTGTAACTACTGAGCTATTGTACAGAAAGTGAAACCACCATCACCTGACAGGTCTTTTACTGTATGCAAAGCCCAACCCCATAAAAATATTGACCAGATAAAGCACCTCAGGTAAGATGAATAGAAGAATGTCTAGTTTACAAATTCCACTATATCCTGAAGAACTGATGAACTTACCGAGCAATCCCAGCTGCACAGTAACTGAGCAGAAGTTCTGAGGATTTATATCTTGGACTTGGGTATTTATTCCCACCTAAGACTTCTCTGGATATAGCATTTGATTTCTACTCTCCCAATTCCTCAACTTTTCCTCAAGGATGATTGTGCCTCCCTGAATTGCTATAATGGAACAGCAAACACAAAGAATGCAAGGCACATCTCCTGTGACACTGGTGGCGCACAAACTATATAGAAAGGTGTGAGGGCTTTGTGATCATTATTAACCCTCATAAAACAGGTCTACATAATACCAGGAAAACTAATTAAATGAACTAGTAAAACTAGCATCAAATAGGGCCCCAGGCACAAGGTCTGAGACATTGACTTATCCAAAATCAACTCTGTTTAATATGAAAAAATAATTCCATTTTAGAAACTCATAATTTGACAGAATCAAACAATAGTTAACTCCCTGTAGCTGATAATCATGCATAAAAATTTACATTGCTGCTTTGAGCTTTTGAGCTGTTGTTATTGTACATATGTGGGACACAATCTTAGGAAGGGCTGAAAAACCTTAGGTTGCATTGTCTTCAGATGAATCATTAAATTACATTCTGTTATACTGTATATGATACTTAGTGCAGTGTTATATAATTTAAAAACATATCATAATTCAGTATAACACATAAGATGAATGAGTGAATTTACAATTGTATACTTGGTATTGTCAGAGCCTGGTAGAATGATTATGCTATAGAATTAGCATTCCATTAAAGGATGAGCCTGAAATGTCTTTAAAGACAGCTGTAAGGACTACAAACTGTCAGCTGCTATGGAACATGTTGAAATAGATCTTTTTCTGCACATTTTCTTGTGATGCTCAAATATTCTCACTTAAAGAAACCAGAATTTGTTTTAAACTAGTAGAACACATATGATTAGTTCCAGTCCCTGCAGATACAAAGAGCCCTTCTGACTATACCATGAATGAAAGCATGTTCCCAACTCATATAGGAGAAGTGACTCTGCACCTGGATGTGGAGCTGCCTCTCCTCAGAAGCACTCTCCTCAGTTTCTCCAGCAGTCCTTCTTACAGCACTTCCTTGGCACTCCTGTGCAGAGATATAGGAAGGAAGAAAAAAAAATTAAAGAAATCAGACTGACGTTTAGGGAAGGAGTCATCAGTACTATTGCTTTCAGTTTGCCTGTCAATGGGGAAAAAAAAAAAAAAGCTTTCTTGAATTAAGTGAAAACTATGCATATAAAATAAGGCTAACGGAACATCACTCTGTTTGCAAAATCAAGCGCTCAAACATTAAGAATCACCAGAATTAAGATTACTGTGTGACAATAAAGCAGTTCTCTTATGTATTCAAGTGCAGTCTTTAGTTATATAACATAAAGGATTTTTCACAGGTTCCCTGCTTCACTCAACACAGGAATGGACAATAGTCACTTAATACTTGGCTTTATCATAATTGTTCAGGGTACAAAGAAGAGGGAAGAAGCAACTGTGATAGGCACCAAAATGCCTCTCTAGCTTCGTGTGCTGTGGAGAACTGAGGGCATGCTGGTGGGGAAGAAGAGCACAGCCCGTGCTCCCTTGCCAGCAGCCAGCCATTGCATAAACTGTGCCTTCACTTGGCTACCACTGTGGATTTCCAGGAGGAGAGAAGTTTCTGCTGTTTATAGCTCTGGCAACTCACAGGAGCTCACTTCCTCACTAGTGCAGGCACTCTTCTGCATGCCTTAGAGGTTAACTGGTTCTTCTCTTATCTTCTTATCCCTCCACTCTTCCCATATCCCATCTGTCCTCAACCTATAGCCATCTGGAGAGATAATGTTGCTGCCCACTGTCTCCCATGTTTGTCCCAATCATCAGACAACAGCCACACAAATCAAGAAGGATCAGGGGTATGTAAATGTGAGGTTCCAAGTCAAAACCTGAAAAGGTGGCAACAAGTGTCAGAATGCCTTCAGCTCTGAGACTACATAGCCCCTCTCAGTCAATGCAAAGTCTTAATTACAACTTTGGAAATAATGACAAACATTCATGTTTAACATGAGTGACACCTCCAGAGGGAGAGGAACTGGTCATAAGTAAGGTTTTGCTATCTTTGTGGAAGATGAATACAGTGGGTGGAGCTCCTTTATCATCTGGCCTAAGAAGAAAGTCTCAGTGTCTCACCTATCATGGAAAACTACTTCTGTGAGCATCTGATGAGGGTGAAGATCATGCATTTGGGTTTCCATCTTTCAGGCTTGTACTGTGGAGATGTCTCACTTGGTTTGTTTATGCAATATGATTGTTTACGACTAAAACATGAAAACCTTAAAATGATATTTCAATTGCAAGCATCATCAAGCTCCAACTTCTCCCAAGTCCAATTTATTTCCAAAGGAAGAATTACTGCTTAGTGTAGTAGAGACCTCACTGACTTCAGCTGAATTCAACCTCAACATGAGACAGAGGAGCAAATTTCTCTCCTCAGAAAAAGTAACAGTATACATAAAAGGGAAAGTAAGTGAAAGAAACTGTGAAAGAGAGAAGATGAAAAGCAAGAAACAAAATTAGACGCAGTTTAGTCATTATGGAGTGGTCAGAGCTACTACTTGTCTCTATTTGAAAAACATTGAATCTCTTGTCTCAGACTTCAGTGATTATCTGGAACTTATAACAGTAAAAGCACACATCACAACCACAGGGAGTGTGGGATATGCTAGCACAGGCGGATCTCAAGTCTGGTAGCTGATTTCCTACTGCACTTTTCTTTTATCACAAGGGAAGGCAAAGTAAGTACTTAGCACAAGTAGTTTTGCTTCATTCCTTATATTCTCCATGTACAACTACACCAGGAAGCAGCACTCACTTATTTTCATTTGTGATCCTACAGTAGTTTTTCACCATAGGCTTTTTATGTCTAGACACCAAAGTGGCTCCATACCATTCATAAAGGGAGGAGATACAGTGCTGAGCTCTCTGTAAATAGCTATTCCCACCTTAGACTGCAGAAAACATGCCAGATCTGCAATGAATGGAGCTCAGGGATAAGTTGATCACAAACACATCTTTCTGATGCATTATTGGATTCTTAAAGCTTAGTCCTTTGCTAATTCAGGAACACAAATAACTAATTGTACCGTGTCGAGCTCAGATTACAGCTGAGGATGGTTCCCGTGGGCAACTGGGAAAGAACACTGACTTTGCTTTTATTGTGGGAAGCATTCCCTAAGTGTAATGCCACTGGAGATGGCTGAAGGGGATTGCATCTGGTTAGGGAGGAAATTACAACCATAATAATTAGCAACAAATTAGCTGCTGTCTCATCTTGAGCCAGGCAAGCCCATCACATTACTTTTACCAGCTGCCCTCTGGTGGAAGAAGGTTCTGAACAGGCCAGGTGAGGGCCACAGGTGGCTTCCACATTTCTGCTTCATTTCACTGGAAAGCGGTTATGGATGGGCCACTTGTGAGTTAAGCCAGGAGGGACCAAATTAGGAGGAACAAACTCTGAGCAGATAACCCCTGTCCAGGGGCCCGAGAGCTTTGCTAAGCTGAGTTAGAGTGGTTGACGCCCCTTTAGCGTAGCATCTCTCTTTATGTGGTGACCTTGTTACTGACAACTGAGTGGACAGCACTTGCTGTATGTATGTCCAAGAGTTCTACAGTTTTGACCAGAATCATGTTTGCAAAGCTTTAAGGTAAGGTCTCCATGTTAATTTAAAATGGGTTCTCTAGTTGCAATTACTATAGTATAATAATTAAATTGAATTTTCTCTGAGTTTGGCTACATGCTGGTATTATTTCACCTTCAGACTGGGCAGCTCTATGCTTGGTGGTCCAAGCTCGAGTCACTCACCAGCCCATCCCCATCCTCCCTGCACTGGTGATGGATGTGGGGTTGTGTCTCAGGAAGACTGCAGAAGCTTGATTCAGAGTAGAGGATTTGACAAAAAACAGAATGGAAACCCTGCCCAGAGGCATGCCAGGTCTGCAGGTGAGAGGCACAGCCATGCAAGGTGAATAAATGGGTGTTCAGGACAGAGCAAGGATGGGTAATCAAGCAATAGGCTCAAACTTAGCATAGAAACATTTGAGGTGAGGCATCAGGAAAAAATTCTAAGCTACAAGGTCAATTAGACCATGGAATAATCTTCTCTGAGAAGTGGCGGAATCGCTGGAGTGGTGTGCGCTTGGTCTAGGTGAGTCACTTGGGATGTTTGAAGGGAACAGCTTGGCACTGGCAAAGGAGGTGGGTTTGATGGGGCCAAAGGTCATTTTTCATCTCTGCATTTTATGGTTCTACAAATTTTTGCTCTGTTAAAAACAGGAGAAAAGAAGGGGAAAAAAATAAATAAATAAAAGGAGCCAAGGCCAAGCAACAGAGAGGAAAAAACCCAGCAGCCAGGGGACTGCTCAAATGGCACTCGACATGGCGGGAGGAATCACAGACTCACTGTGGTGGGAAGGGATCCCTGACTCCAGCTCCCTGCTCCAAGCAGGGCTGGCTAGACCAGCACCCTCCCCGGGTGCACCCAGACAGAGCAGCCCTTTGGCAGGGTCAGCCCAGCTCTTCCACCTCCCTGGAGGCTCACACACCCCATGAGCTTCCCCTCCAGGGAAACCCCCATGAGACTACTGAGCCTTGGTTTTGCTGCTGCAAAGCAGAGGGGAAAAAATGTGCCACTTTCTGTTGGCCTGTGTCAGCATGTGGCTCCAGTCTTGGTTCTTTAACTGCCGTAGATGGGAGAGCACTGTAAGCCTCTGGGTGTGGGAACAGTCTTGGGGTGCTCAGTGGGACGCTGTCACCCCTGTGACCCACCATGGTGCCAGAGGTGCTGTGCTCCTGGAGAAACTGCTGGGGCTGAGACCTGGACCAGGTTTTGGTGCCTGTGGCCCCACGGGCCACGCTTGGCTTTGCAGAAGCAGGGGAAGAGGCTTGGGCCAGAGTTTTGTCCAGGGAATGAGATTTGTGTCTGTCAAAATGATCCCACACCCAGTCTTCCTCCTGCTTAGCAAAGCCACAGGCTGTTGGGGGAATACAGTATGTCTTCTACCTTAGGTGCATCTTAGAAATGGAGAGTTATGTTGTACATGTTTATTGGGGGGACAGAAGGACTGCCAGAATAAAGAGGCAGGTGAGTGTTTAGTTTTGGAGAGGGAGGGCCCACTTTGCACTGTTGCCATCAGCAGTGACACAACTCCTGTCCTGTGTCCTGGTGGTGCCATGTCCCCCTGCACCACCCCAAAGCCCAGAGCTGTTCTGGGAACTGGTGTCCTATGCCCACATATATCGACACCAAAAAGACAGACAAGTAGCACTGCATCTCCTCCCTTTATGAATGGTATTGAGCCACTTTGGCATCTAGACATAAGGAGCCAGTGGTGAAAAATTATTGTAGGATCACAAGTGAAAAAGTAACACAGTCTCCACGTTTTCCCACAGTCCCATAAAACCGGACAGGCAGAACCACATGAAGCCAAGAGGTCAGGCAGCGCTTGGGGAGCGGGAGGAGTGTGAGATATGGGTTGCAGTAACCTCTGTATTCTTGGCCACTCTCCAGTCACTTCTCGCCACACGCATTTGTGTGCATGATTAGTGTTCTTGCAGTCTCTGAATGCAGGCCAGATAACATGTTCAAAACTCTTCATTAAAACATAATCTCTTCCTTGATTCCCCCAGTCACACATGCACCCACACAGCCCCAGGCTACCTGATTGCCCTTCCTGCCCAGACAGCGCTAACACTCTCCCAGAGCCGATTCCCCTTGGAAGGAACCGCTTGTGTCACACGTGCTCAGGATCAGCAGGGAAACTCTGCGCTTGGCCTAATTAGCTGTAATGGAGGGGCAGAGCAAAATCCAAACCATGTGCTTGGGCCCTCCTCTGAATTCAGTGCGAGCACTTTCACACTGACCTGCTGGCTCCTCCACCCGAAAGCTTTGGTGCTCAACAGTCTCTGCATCTCTAACAGCTCCCTGCGTCCTTCCACACGCCCCTCCCCAGACACATGAAGCCTGGCTGGGGGTGTGGGTAGGGCTTTGTTTCCTTTCCCTATGGTTTTACAGGGCTGCCTTTCTTTGCTCCCCTGCATTCGGAGGCACTGGGCAT